ACAGGCTGGGGGGACAGGGGTGTCCCCACGTCCCATGAGTGACACGTTGGGGTCCCCAGATCCCACATGTGACACACAGGAGGTCCCCAGTGTCCCCAAGTCCCATGAGTGACACGTTGGGGTCCCCAGATCCCATGTGTGACACACAGGAGACCCAAGTGTCCCCAAGTCCCATGTGTGACACGTTGGGGCTCCCAGATCCCACATGTGACGTCCCCAGTGTCCCCCAAGTCCCATGTGGACACGTTGGGGTCCCCAAATCCCACGTGTGACACACTGGAGGTCCCCAGTGTCCCCAAGTCCCATGTGTGACACATTGGGGTCCCCAGATCCCACATGGGATACATGGGAGACCCCAGCGTCCCCAAATCCCATGAGTAAGACGTTGGGGTCCCCATTGTCCCCAAGTCCCATGTGTGACATGTTGGGGTTCCCAGATCCCACATGTGACACATGGGAGGTCCCCAGTGTCCCCAAGTCCCATGTGTGACACATTGGGGTCCCCAGATCCCACATGGGATACATGGGAGACCCCAGCGTCCCCAAATCCCATGAGTAAGACGTTGGGGTCCCCATTGTCCCCAAGTCCCATGTGTGACATGTTGGGGTTCCCAGATCCCACATGTGACACATGGGACGTCCCCAGTGTCCCCAAATCCCATGAGTGACACTTTGGGGTCTCCAGAACTGACATGTGAGACATGGGAGTCCCCAGTGTCCCCAAATCCCACATGTGACACACGGGAGGTCCCCAGTGTCCCCAAGTCCCATGAGTGACACATTGGGGTCCCCCCTGTGATGCACATTGAGGTCCCCCGTGTCCCCAAATGCCCCCCGCCTTGTGTGGCACCGTCCCCAATAAACCCGTGTGACACGTGGCGCTGCCACCTCTGCTCTGTTCCCCTTCTTGTCACCCCCAGGGCTCGTCCCCGTGTCCCCAAGGCTCCAGCCCTAGGACAAACAGCCTCAGGCCGTCCCCACCCGCCCCAAAATCGCAGCGTTTTGCCCCAAAAAAGCCATGGGGTGGGGGGGGCACATCACAACACCTTTATTGGGGGGGTGGCTGGTCCCGGTGGCGGTTGGGGACGTCGTTGGGGACGTCGGTGTCACTCGAGCGCCTGCAGCATGAGGAGCTGCTTGAGGACCTTGGTCTGGCTGGTCTCGCGGATCTCCCCCGCCAGGAACATCTCGTCCACCACGGTGTAGACCTGGGGACACGCGTGTCACCTCCCGTGTCACCGACCCGTGTCACCAACCCGCACACACACACACCTAGCGACACCCGGTGGCGGTTCCGTGTCACCGACCGGTGTCACCGACCCGCCCGCATGCACACCTGGGAACACCTGTGTCACCTCTCCATGTCACCGACCCACACACACACACCTGGGGACACACCTGTCACCGACCTGTGTCACCTCCCCGTGTCACTGACCCACACACACACCTGGGGACACCCGTGTCACCTCCCCATGTCACCGGCCTGTGTTACCTCCCCATGTCACCCACCCGCACGCACACACACCTGGGGACACGTGTGTCACCTCCCTGCGTCACCACCCTGCGTCACTAACCCACACACACACCTGGGGACACGGGTGTCACCTCCCGCATCGCCTCCCCGTGTCACCGACCCACACACACCCCTGGGGACACGCGTGTCACCTCCCCGTGTCACCAACCCATGTCACCGACCCACACACACACACCCCTGGGGACACACGTGTCACCCCCCTGTGTCACCAACCCACCCATGTGCACAAACTGGATCCCAGTGCCCAGATGGGATCCGCCTGAATCCCGTCGGATCCCACGGGGGAATCCCATGGGATCCAAGGAGGGGGATCCCGTGGGATCCAAGGAGGGGGATCCCCGTGAGATCTGGGCGAGCCAGAGCCGTGCGAGATCCCCGGAGTGACCCGACTGGATCCCAGTGCTCAGATGGGATCCCTTGGGATATGCCTGAATCCCGTGGGATCCGGCAGGGAATCCCACGGGATCCAAGGAGGGGGATCCCATGGGATGCGAGTGAGCCGGAACCGTGTGAGATCCCTGGAGTGACCCGGCTGGATCCCAGTGCCCAGATGGGATCCCTTGGGATCCGCCTGAATCCCGTCGGATCCCACGGGGGAATCCCAAGGGATCCAAGGAGGGGGATCCCATGGGATCCAAGGAGGGGGATCCCCGTGGGATCTGGGCGAGCCGGAGCCATGCGAGATCCCCGGAGTGACCCGACTGGATCCCAGTGCTCAGGTGGGATCCCTTGGGATATGCCTGAATCCTGTGGGATCTGGCAGGGAATCCCACAGGATCCGAGGAAGGGGATCCCATGGGACGCGAGTGAGCTGGAACCGTGTGAGATCCCGGGAGTGACCCGGCTGGATCCCAGTGCCCAGATGGGATCCCTTGGGATCCGCCTGAATCCCGTCGGATCCCACGGGGGAATCCCAAGGGATCCAAGGAGGGGGATCCCATGGGATCCAAGGAGGGGGATCCCCGTGGGATCTGGGCGAGTCGGAGCCGTGCGAGATCCCCGGAGTGACCCGACTGGATCCCAGTGCTCAGGTGGGATCCCTTGGGATATGCCTGAATCCTGTGGGATCTGGCAGGGAATCCCACAGGATCCGAGGAAGGGGATCCCATGGGACGCGAGTGAGCTGGAACCGTGTGAGATCCCTGGAGTGACCCGGCTGGATCCCAGTGCCCAGATGGGATCCCTTGGGATCCGCCTGAATCCCGTCGGATCAGCGGGGGGGAATCCCGTGGGATGCATGGAGGGGGATCCCGTGGGATCCGGGCATCCCCGTGGGATGCGAGCGAGCCGGAGCCCAGATGGGATCCGGCGGGATTTGGGCTCCTAGCTATAATTGGGCAGGGATCCAAGGGGATCCCACTCCATGGGATCCAATGGGATCCGAGCCCAAGCGTCCCGCTGGGATCCAAGCTCCCTACAAGGACCTGATCTCCCTGCTGGGATCTTCCAGGACCTGGGATCCGTGGTGGGATCCAATGGGATTGGGGCTCTTAAAGGGGAACTGAGGGGGATCCCTGAGGGCTCCGCTGAGATCTGTCGGGATCCCAGCTCTCCCATTGGGATCTCACCGGAATGGAGCTTCCCGGTGGGATGGCAGCTCCTGAACACGGTCCGAGCTCCCTGGCAGGGCCCGGGATCCCGGGCGGGATCCCAGGGGATCTGGGCATCCTGGCAGGATCTGCTGGGGTCACAGCTCCCAGATAGGACCGGAGCTTCCGAAGGGGATCCCACAGGATCCGAGCTCCCAGGATCCAGGTGGGATCCAGTAGGATCTGCCTCTCCCATAGGATCCACTAGGATCCAAGTACCCCTGTGGGATCCCACAGGATTGGAGCACCCGGGCGGGATCCAGCAGGATCCGAACCCCTCATGGGATCCCACAGGATCCAGGCTCTCCCATGGGATCCACTAGGATCCAAACACCCAGGCAGGATCTCGCAGGATCCGACCTCTCCCGGGGGTTCGGAGCAACCACACGGGATCTGGTGGGATCCAAGCCCTCCCATGGGATCCGAGCACCTGGGTGGGATCCCAAAGGATCCGGCCTCTCCCATTGGACCGAGTGGGATCCCGAGTGGGATCCACAGAATTCCGTCTCTCCATGAGATCCCAACAGATCCCCCCAACGGCACCCAGTGCCACCAAGGAGCCTCCACTCCGGCCTCCACCGCCATCCAACACAGGGATCCCCAGCTCTGCGGCGGAATTCCCGGCTCCGGGACGGAATCCCCGGCTCCGGGACGGAATTCCCAGTTCCGGGACGGAATCCCGGCGGGATCCGTAGGGATCTCACCTCCACGAAGTTGTGGATGGCCTCCAGGTAGGCCAGGTTGTTGTCGGTGACGTCCACGCAGATGCAGAAGTAGAGGCCGGCGTAGCGGCGATAGATGATCTTGAAGTTGCGGAACTGCGGGGACAACGGGGACATTGGGGACACTGGGGACACCAGGGGGACATTGGGGACACCGGGGGGACACCAGAAGGGGACCCCACGAGGGCCACGGAGGAGATTTTGGGGGCCAAAGTGGCCGCTTTGGGGGCAAAACCGCAGCCACATCTGAGGGAAATTCCTTTTTTGGGATCAAGCGAAGCCACTTTGGGGGAAAAAATGTGGATTTTGGGACAAGCAGAGCTGCTTTGGGGAGAAAACTGCAGCTTTTGGGTCAAACAGAGCCGCTTCAGGGGGAAAAATGCAGCCACATCTGGGGAAAACTCATTTTTTGGGATTGAGCGAGGCCACTTTTGGGGGGAAAAATGTGGATTTTGGGTCCGGCAGAGGCGCTTTGGGGGCAAAATCACCGCTTTGGGGCCAAGGAGAGCCACTTTGGGGGCAAAACTGCAGCTTTTGGGTCCAGCAGAGCCATTGCGGGGGCAAAACCACCACTTTGGGGCCACGGAGAGCCACTCTGGGGACAAAACAGCAGCCTTTGGGTCCAGCAGAGCCACTCTGGGGGCCAAACTGCGGCTTTTGGGTCCAGCAGAGCCGCTTTGGGGGCCAAGCTGCGTTTTTTGGGTCCAGCAGAGCCGCTTTGGGGGCCAAACTGCGGCTTTTGGGTCCAGTAGAGCCGCTTTGGGGGAAAACTGCAGCTTTTGGGTCCAGCAGAGCCACTTCGGGGGGCAAAGCTGCATCTTTTGGGCCAAAACCGGGCACTTTGGGGGCAAACTCCCCACTCTTGATGCCAGCAGAGCCTCTTTGGGGACCCCCTCCTGCTCTACAGGCCCCCAAATCCCCGTTTTGGTGCCGAAACTCCCCGTTTTGGGGCCGAAAGCCCCCGTTTTGGCGCCGAAAGCCCCCGTTTTGGCGCCGAAAGC